AATCCGAGAGCCCCGTGGCAGGATCCGTCCCGTCAGGTGCCCTTGTACCCCCCAGCGGGTACCTGAGCAGCACCTGGCCCTTGACCCCCGGCCTCCTGTATCCTTACTCCTCCTCGCTCATGAGATCCTACGCCTCCGCCGCCACGCTGGGGTCCCTGTGGAACTCGGCGTCGCTCAGCTCACACACCAAACACTACTCAGGTGAGGACGGAGTCTTGCTGCTTTCGTGGCGGGGGACCTTCCTGCTGTTTGTGCTCTCCCTCTTCCCTTCTCTCCCTCTCCGTCTCCCTCTCGTTCCTTCCCTCCCTATCCACCCCTCCTCTTCCCTCCTTTCTCCTTCTTCTCTCTTCTTTGTGAAATAATATCTACTTTTTTCCTTCGTCCCGTGCGCCCAGCCTCACGCGCCCTTTTCCTCCTCCCGCAGCCGGCCCGATGCCCTTGTCGCCCGAGAAGCGCGAGGAGCCCCTGAACCTGTCCCTGAAGAGCTCGCGGCCCACCAAGGCGGCCATCTGGTCCCCCGCGTCAGCGCTCGAGCAGGAGGAGAAGGAGGAGTCCTTACCGTCGCCCACAGGTCGCCTCAGCCCGATGGACTCGAGCGACTGCGAGGCGCCACACGCCCTGCACGACGACACCTGCAGGGACCCCCGCGCGCCCCCCCTCGACCCCCTCAGCCTCCGGCTGGGCCTCCGTCAGTACGCCGACTTCGTGGTTAACCTGCAGGGCCTGGCGACGCGTGACAAAGAGACAGAGGGCCCCGTGCCTCCTCGGGACGAGGGCATCTCGCCGTCGTGGTGCCCCTCCGTATGGCCGTGGGCGTCCGTGTACCGTGGCGCCGACGTCTACTCCTGCCGCCACTGCGCCAAGTCCTTCAACTCCCCGCTGAGTCTGGACGTCCACGTCAAGAGGACCCACTCGGCCGCCGCGCACCACAAGGCTGCCGGAGGAGACTTGTCCGACAGCGAGAAGATCCTGCCGCCGCCGCCCAGTCTCATCCCGATCTCCAGCGCCAGGACCGAGAAGACTTTCCAGGTATTTGCGGATCCCTCTTTGATGCCATAATGCTAGGATGTATATTACACACAGACGGACTCGCAAGCACACACACCACACGCACACGCGCACGCGCACGCACACGCACACGCGCACGCACACGCACACGCACACACACACACATATATATATATACACGTACACATATACATACACATTCATTCCCAGTTATACATTTTTCGGCAAGAGCCGCACTCTAACCTCCCTTTCCTCCCGCAGTGCAAGCAGTGCGGCAAGTGCTTCAAGAGATCGTCCACGCTCTCCACCCACCTCCTCATCCACTCTGACACCCGCCCATACCCGTGCCAGTACTGCGGAAAGCGGTTCCACCAGAAGTCGGATATGAAGAAACACACATATATCCACACTGGTGAGTTGCTGTGGAATTTGTGGGTATATAGGCCGATCAATAGATAGATAAAGATAGAGAGAGAGAGGGGGGGGGGCGAGGGAGAGTAAGAAAGTTAAGTAAAAGAAAGAAAATGAGAGAGAAAGAGAGAAATGCAGGGGAAGAGAAGAACCAGTCATTTTCTTCCCCAATACCGAGCGAGAGACCAGCAGATAACCAACGGCCGCCCGCCCTTTTCTGTCGCTTCACCTGCTTGTTAAAGCAGATATTTATGGGCGTGATCCGCTGCGGCGCCAAGTGGCCGCCCACTCAGCCAAACAGTCTCCTAATTGCCTCGTCATTAGGCAGACCAATAAACAATATGCAAATACGGAGAACAAGAAGAAAAAAAACATTTACCCATGGGCACATATCAGGACTCTGGGTGTGCCGCCCACTTCGTTTGATTCTATCAAGTATTCATCGTGAGTGCTTTCAAGTTTGTGGATATTTCATCAATCATTCACGGGATTGGTTCATGTCAGGGACCAGTAGCGCCGGAGAATACAGGTTCGGGCGGGTCCCGAGCCGGGCATTAGGAGGAAAGCGATTGTTTTAAGAGAAAGAACGGGGGAATAAGTGGAACGCGGGCAATAAATTGGGACAGAAGTGATACAAATGATAATTTGGGTGATCCCTGTGCACGTAACGAGAGTGCATTTTTAAAGAGGGGAGGGGGAGAAGAAGAAAGAAAGAAAAGAAAATATAGGTGATAAATTAGAAAGAAAAATAAACATCATAATTTGGGTGATGCTTTTGCATGCAAGGCGAATGCATTCTTAGAGGTGTGTGTGTGAGGGGGGGGGGGTGCTACCGCAAGAAAGCGGGCAAGAGCTTTTAAGGACGAGAAATGACAGGAGCCGGTGAGTGGAGAGTGCTTGAGAAGGGCGGTACAGACTGGAGTGTGGATGAGGGGGAGAGAGAGAGAGAGTGGAGAGAGGGAAGGACGCTGATAAAAAGACGTTCGGGGAAGACCAGAGACAAACAGCTAGACAGTCCGGCAGAGAGAAAGCCTCAGGCAGAACAGGCTCTTTCTTTGGAGACCCAGACAGTCAGAGAATGAAATGAGGAAAAAAAGGAGAGGGAGAAACGGAAGGACGGCCGAAAGGAGAGGGCGAGGAGGGGTCCGCCCAGTGGAGCTCCAACGTAACCCGATATTGATATTTCATCGTTCACAATTAGGCTTTCGATGGATCGTTCTCCAGGCTTCGACGCGCCGCGGCCATTTGTCAAACGCTTGTCCTGAAAGACTTGCTGGCAGCGCACGCCCAGCCATTGTCACGCCTTCCTTCCTTCCCTCTCTTCTTCCCTCTTCTTCCCTTCCTTCCCTCTCCCCTTGCCTCTCTTGTCCCCTTCCCTCCTTCTCCCGTTGCCTTTAGCTCTCCTACCCTTCCCTCCCTCCTCCCGTTATTCTGAACTTTCCTCCCTTCATCCATTTATCCTTTCCCTTCCCTTTTTTATTTTCCCCCTTTTCCATCTCTAGCATGTCTCCCTTCCTTTTTTCTGTCCATTCGTCTCTTCCCCTTCTCCTCCCTCCTTCCCTTAATGGTCTACCTAACTCTTCCTTTCTTCATCATCTGTTCTCCCCCTCTCTCGATCCCTTTCCTATTTCCCCCTCCTTTCCTCTTCCCTCTCCCCCTCCCTCTCTTCCCCTCCTCTCCATTCCCCTTCCCTTCCCTCGTTCTCCTAAAGATTTGTAGCCGCTCGCTTTTAAGATTTTATCGAGCGCCAGTCCTTGAGGAGTTAAACGGAGTATTGAATGCGGAATATTTATACTTTATATGGTTTCATTGTGTAATCTACGGTCGTTATGGCACACAAAGAGGCGGCCGCGAGACACACACGCCCTCGAAGGGTGGGGATTTATTGCTCTGGGGAGAGGAGGGGTGAGGGAGGAGGCAGGGGGAGAGGAGGGGTGAGGGAGGAGGCAAGGGGGAGAGGAGGAAGGGGCAGAGGGGAAGAGAAGGGTGAAAAGGAGGTGGGAAAGGAAGAGGAGAATTGTGTGAAGAGAGAGGAAAGATAGAGGTAGAAGAGACTTAAAAAAGAAAAAAAAAGGAAAAGGGAGAGAGAGGGAGGAGAAAAGTGAAGATCGGCGAATGCAAAAAAGGAATCTCTCTCTACTCGTACCTCCCCACCACCACCCGCACCCCTACCCCCACCTCTCCCTGACCTGACAAGCGGGTAAAATAAAAGGACACAACGAAATCGACATATTAAATAAGTCATATTATATTATAAATGATAATACATAAATAAACAATAAATGTCATCTACAACTACTACAAATTCGCGTTGAAATCGCGGCAGTGTTGTAATTCAGTCATTTTCTCATTACCGCCGGCTCCTGCGGCTCCGTCCCTCGCCGGGAAGGACACGGATAACGATCCTTCAAAGTATGAAGTGTGAGCGCGAAAATGGCTCTCGGAGTTTGCTTTTACGACGTCGACGAGCCCGGCGTTATGTCTGGCTTTAGCGTTTATGGAGGCTCGTGCTTGGGGGGCTGGGGCTCTCTGTTGGGTTTCACTCTTCCTCTCTTGCCCTTTCTCCTTCTGTCTCTTTCTGTCTCCCTCTTTCCCACGCACTCTATCTATCTATCTATCTATCTATCTATATCTCTATCTCTATCTCTCCCTTTCTCTCTCTCTCTCTCCTCCACCCACCCTTCCTCCCTCACTCTCTTCTCTCCCTCCTTCCTTTCCTCCCTCCTTCTCGTTCTCCCTCCTCCCCTCTCTCTCCTTCTGCCTTCCCTCACCCTCTCTCTCTGCCCCCCCCCCCCCCATCACAGCTTGACGATGCAATTATCGACGTTTGCTCAACACAATAGGCTTAAGCTGGAATGAACTAAGCTGACCGATAGGCTATAAGTGTGTCTGGTGTGTGTGTGTGGGGGGGGGGTGTATGGGTGGGCGTGAGAACCATAAACGAGGGCGTGGCAATGTTTGATGTTAGAAATATGTTTGTGTGTGTGAGTTGGGGTGAGGTAATGTTTCCAAGTGTCCTAGAGGAGTGTGTGTGTATGCGTTGCATTGGAGTAGGTGTTTTATGACTATAATGAATGTACAGATGTGCATATGACTCCTTATAAAGCACACCACGTTCGCTAAAATTATGTGTTTCCCACAAATGTATATATAATCGGTGTGTTTTTCTATACATATAAATGTGTCTGTAAGAGAGATATCGTTTTTCTGCCTTTATTTTTTATGCATATATGATAGTTGCAAAATGGATACCTTAGTACCCCATGCCTTCTCCCCTTCCCTCCCCTGCCCCCCTTTCTCCCCTCTCCTGTTTCGAGTCAAGATTAATCGCCGAGGCAGAGCGCCGCCCTGAATCATTCATAACGTCTACTTGACCAATGAATTGCTCCACTCATTACGGCATTGTTTGCCGTCGTAATGCTCCGCCGTATTAATGACCCTCATAACCGTGCGTTTTATGGCTGGATCATTATTGGATTGGTGTGGGGTGGGGCGGGGAGGGAGGGGGGTGGGGAGGAAAGGAGGGAGGGAGTGGGTGCGCGGAGGGAAGGAGGGCTAGTAAGGCCAAGGCGGAGCCTAAGCCAGAGCCACGTCTCGCTTGACGAGAGGAAAATTCTCATCACTTTTTTATTTTCCTTATAGATATTGTTATTATTTTTTTACTCGACGAAATAAGAACTCTGGAACCTTTCTTACCGAAACTCGCCCGTCCGCCCGCGCGCACGCACGCCTCTACACACGCTCCCGCCGCAATTATCTTAATTATGCACACTCGATAGTCTATCAATAATGCAAGCGAACTAATTGTTCCTTCACCTGCACCTCCGAAACGCGGCAAATCCGAAGGAACATGAAAGTGCTCTTATACAAGCGCTCGTTTGGTCGATAATCTGACGCAAGTATGTTGAGACTTGAACCATCTCGTGGTAGGGACTTAGGGTGTTACGTGGGGCAGCCGCTTATTATGTGTGGGATGTGCCCGCGCGAATGTGTTTGTGTGTGTGCGTGTGTGGGTGTGGGAGGGGGGTTGCGTGTGTGTGGGTGTGTTTATGTGTACATTTACATGTCCTTTCGAGAGAGAGGGAGGGAGGTGAGAGGAAGGGGAGGTAAAAGCAGAAGAGAGATATAGCAAGAAAAGAAAAAAAAAGTTCTTCCGCCGTTCAGCGCCTGAAACCCTGAAGCGTCGGATTCTCGCGTCTCGTCCTCACACCCGAGCGTCCGAAAGCCAGCGTTATACTTCGGAAGTAAAGCGTTCGCACACGTACATGGCGGCTTCGTTTGCTTTATAAATAGCGTCTCGTCAAGGTGTTTGCAAAGTTCAGAAGCATTTAAGAGCATTTTTATTCCACCCCGTTAGAGGATAGAGAGAGGAGAGGGATAAGAGAGAGAGAGAGAGAAAGAGAGAGAGAAAGGGAGAAAGAGAGAGAGAGGAGAGGAGAGAAGAGGGAAGGATAGAGGAAGGAGAGGGAGGGAGGGAAAGAGAGGAGAGAGAGATCAATACAACATTGTCACCTTCCGTAATGCTGTCACGTCCAATTGTCAGTAGAGGGCAGCACTTGAAAACGGCTCCCCCCCCTCTCTCTCTCTCTCTCTCTCTTCATCGCTAGATATGGTAAAGGATCTCGCCACAACTTCTTATTTTCCTTTTTTTATATAAGTATAAGGCCTTTTTTATAATTTTGTTATATTTTCCTTTATCTTCCGTCTCCTTCCCGCTCTTTATTTTATTATCTTTCTCGCCAAAGAAGTTTAATAGGAGTAATATCCAGCGGCCGATAAATTATGTCCCCCAAGATATTTTCAGCTTAATTGCTCCTAATTCCATACTTTAGTTTGACTGACAGGTTGATCTATTCACCAGAGGATCATGAAGTTGCATCATTATATCTTGCATGATAATTTGTTGCATAATAAATCACCCACTCTGAGGTTGTTGTTGTATTTTTATTTCTTATATTCTAGTCTTCGAATAATAAGTTAATTGATTTCGTTTTCTTTCCTGCACATAAAGTTAGCTCCTCTGGAGTTCTTGTTTCACTTCTACTTTGCTGTGTTTAGTTGTTGTTTTTTTCTCTCTCTGTGTTTTGGGTTAACGAGTTTTTAATGTTTGTCTCGTTCCAGTTTTGTCTCATGTTTTGCTTTTGTTTTGATATTTGACGTTGTTGGTTGACGAGTTCTGGCACTAACTTCCCCCCTTGTTCCCGGCAGGCGAGAAGCCCCACAAGTGCGTGGTGTGCGGCAAGGCCTTCAGCCAGTCGTCCAACCTCATTACGCACATGAGGAAGCACACCGGCTACAAGCCCTTCGCCTGCGGACTCTGCGACAAGGCCTTCCAGCGCAAGGTGGACCTCCGGCGCCACCGCGAGTCCGTTCACCCGAACTGCGAGCACATTCCGCCTCCGCCGCCGCAGCCCTTCCCCGCGCACAACAACCACGAGGCCAACAACAACAATAACAACAACGACAACAGCAGCGACAACAACAACGACACGACGGCCACCAACAACAATCCCTCGTCGGAGCTGGACGCCTCAGCGACCAGCGAAACGGTCCTGGGCACGCAGATATAGGCCTCAAGGGCGGGAGACGGGGTTGTGCGTCCCTCAGTGTCTGTTGAAGGAAGAACCTTCCCCCAGCCTCACCACCGCGAGCCGAAAGTGGAGTGGGAGGGAGTGTATATAGAGATATTTATATACATGAAGATGTCTAGTACTATCACGCTAATGTATTCTGACGGTGTACTTCAGTGTTGACTCAGCAGTGCCCGGTGGTGGAGATCGTACCGCTGTACCACAGTATTGCTCAATTGAGGGCACAGTACACGGTTTTCGCACTCGGTGTGGGTGTTACACCTTTTATACACAGTTGTGTGTAGTGTATGTACATTGGTGTGTACAGAGATGGAGCCGCCGGCGTCGCCAGAGACATGCCGAAGGAACTGTGGCATTCGACGCCGGTGGGTACTGTAGCTAAGGAGAAAAAGATGTGTATTCATTTCGTTTTTAATTTCTTGTTGAGTTGGATCCTTTCGAACCGTCTCGAAACTCTAGAATCTCCGTCGGAGACTTGACAAGTTTCTTGCCTGAGTCGGGATACGCGTTATACTTTATCATCCGCTATCTGGTCCTGACTCGTCTCCAGAACAAGAAGATGAGGCGCCGACCTGTCATGCCGCCTCGGGCGACGGCCTGGGCACGGACCGGGGCAGTCTCATAGTCATTCGCGAGGTACAAACCCTTCAGTATTAGATAGAAGAAAGCAAGAGGACCGCACCCAAGTGTGAGCTCTTCCTCCTCGAACCGGGCGGCTTTGCGCTCACATTCGGGTCTGAGGGAGAGACGCAAGAAGCACCACTGGACCCTCCGGACGGCGCTGCCTTTGGAGCAGCGTTCATTGGCCTCGAGGAGTTCCTTCCGGGAAAACCGGCGCCCCTGTCTCCTGAGGCTGAAAGGACGATCCTCAGCCAATAGCGCCCCCTACGAGACCTCCTTCACACTTGGCTGATTCCTCGCCCGCAGTCGCTGGAGGCGGGAACACCCACCTCGCTGTTTTAACTTCTGGAAGAAGAATCAGAAGGAAGAAAGGGCATCAAAGGAACGCCTTCTGGATCCCGAACCACCAGCGGCCCAGAAAGAAACCGCCGGCCTCTGTCAGAAAGAGACAGACCGCAGTCGGCGACACAAAAGACCGCAGACGAGGACCGCAGCGCCGGTTAAATTGCAAATCATGTATGGCCGCAGCGCAGGCCAGTGGTGTGACTTGCGTGGTAGTTCCTCGTCACACAGTTAGGGACTAGTCAGTTAGCATCGAACCAAAGTAAGTTGTAAGTCAGCCCTATTTAACATGGTGAACTAATGACAGTGAATTGTATTAATTAGGTTTATTATTTTTTCTCTTTCTCTTTCTTTTTTGTGATTATGATGATTATCATTTCTTTGTTTTTTCTTTGGTAGAGCCGAGTAAAGTGTCAAGAAATCAGCTAATTAAATCTTTGCAAATGACTTGACTTTTGAAGGTGCAAAGTGTGTATAACCGGAGGATTCTCTCCTGCAGAGGGACCTTTTGTAATAAACGACACTGTACATTGAACAGTATAAATTATACGTAATGAAATGAAATGTTATCGCCGCACCTTTCCAGTCCGTCCACAAATGATTCATAAGTGTTTAGAAATGCCTTATCTATTATATATATAAAAAATCATAACTATAGGCTTATATTCGCCATCCGCGTTGTTATCGTAATCACGGTTAATAGTACTATATTTTGTATATACATGCACGGAAACGTTGTAATTGAGCGTTCACGCTGTGCCTTCATGATAAATTGTAGCCGTCTACGTCAGTGCCTTCAAGTATGGGGACACAGTGCCACACAAGCCGCCCTCCGCCCCGCCCCTCTTTCCTCCTTTCATCATTCTTTCCCATCCTCCCTTTCATCCCCACCCCTTCCCCAATTACTTCTCAACCCAGCTTGTTACCTAACCCCCCCTCACCCCTCACCCCTCCCTCATCACGGGAACTGGTGACGGTCGCTGTGCGGAGTCGAAGCGAGTGTCTGAAGCCGTACCAAGCTCTTTGGTCGGGAAATTCGTTTTTGTTCTGTGGCCCCGATTTATTTTTCTGTGTTCCTTTTTATGCGAATATCTTTTAGTATGTATATCTATCGCCCCTTTCTTTATGTTTTATTAAGAACGTGGAATTGTAAGTTGCAGGAAGGAGTACTGTGAATCATCGTCGAAATGAAGTTACTGTGGATAGTGTGTTGATGTTAACGCCCTCCTCTCCTCCCACTCTCTTTGTCCCTCCCCTCCCTCACTCCCTCCCTCGCAATGCCAAACAGTGCCATGCTAGGAAGGTCACGGGGGGAGGGGAAAACGAGGAGGAGGAGGAGGCGAGGGGCGTTGAATTCGTGATCGTCAGGGTTTCCTATGTGTTGCAAAGCTCTTGCAAAATAAAAATAAAAAAAAACAGTGAAAGCTGACCAATGATGATACACCAGCGATTTTGTTTCCCAACGAAGAGCACTTCAGCTTCAGCCTACTTCGCATGTCGCCGCCTGTAACGAGTTTCGCCTCTCGAGTTCTTCCTCCCTTCTGACGGAGGAGAGCGGTCGCGAAGAGCAAAAGGGCTTGAACCCAAACCGACATCGCAGCCTCGGAGTCGCTGGTCAGACAGGAAGTTCTGAGTCGGACGCGAACCATGTACAGCGAGTAATTTCTTGTATTTTTTGGCTCATGTGTTGTAAATACCGATATTTACTTTTTATTTCTTTTTTGTACAATGCCAAAGAGATAGTAATTGTCTACCTTCCTCTCTGCTTCTGTCAGCCGCTGGCCGCATGCACCCACCTGTTCGGCAAGGCAGCGCGAACTCTGTATGATAAAAATCAAATGCGGGAGTTTATAGTGTCTTTTTAGTGTCGTCATCGTCGTTTGTATTTGCCTGACGCCTGGCGTTATCTAGTTCCATCTCCCCCTTCTTCTCCCCCCCCCCCCCTCTCCTCTCCCTCCTCTTTATCTATCTATCTCTATCTCTCTATCTATCTATCTATCTCTATCTCTCTATCTATCTATCTACCTATCTCTCTGTCTCTCGCTGCTTCTCTCTCTCACTCACTCACTCATTCACTCTTTGTAACTCTATCTATATATATCTATCCATATATCTATTTATCTCCCCCCCCCTCTCTCTCTCTCTCTCAATCTCTCTCTCTCTCTCTCTCTCTCTCCTCTCTCTCTCTCTCTCAATCTCTCTCTCTCTCTCCTCTCTCTCTCTCTCCTCTCTCTCTCTCTCCTCTCTCTCTCTCTCTCCTCTCTCTCTCTCTCTCCTCTCTCTCTCTCTCTTTATCTATCTATCTCTATCTCTCTATCTATCTATCTACCTATCTCTCTGTCTCTCGCTGCTTCTCTCTCTCACTCACTCACTCATTCACTCTTTGTAACTCTATCTATATATATCTATCCATATATCTATTTATCTCCCCCCCCCTCTCTCTCTCTCTCTTTATCTATCTATCTCTATCTCTCTATCTATCTATCTATCTATCTATCTCTATCTCTCTATCTATCTATCTATCTACCTATCTCTCTGTCTCTCGCTGCTTCTCTCTCTCACTCACTCACTCATTCACTCTTTGTAACTCTATCTATATATATCTATCCATATATCTATTTATCTCCCCCCCCCTCTCTCTCTCTCTCAATCTCTCTCTCTCTCTCTCAATCTCTCTCTCTCTCTCTCTCTCTCTCTTTATCTATCTATCTCTATCTCTCTATCTATCTATCTATCTATCTATCTCTATCTCTCTATCTATCTATCTATCTCTATCTCTCTATCTATCTATCTATCTCTATCTCTCTATCTATCTATCTATCTATCTATCTATCTATCTATCTCTCTGTCTCTCGCTGCTTCTCTCTCTCACTCACTCACTCATTCACTCTTTGTAACTCTATCTATATATATCTATCCATATATCTATTTATCTCCCCCCCCTCCCCCCCTTCTCCCTGGCACTAGTCGACAGAGAAGGATAAGGCCGATGATATACTTATATTTCAGATTTAGTCACCCACTGTATAATTATAAGTAAATAAAATAAAACTTCTCATGTTTCTAGAAAGAAGGTTATTCATTACCCCTGTGTGTTTATGCAGAAATATGTTGATTTCGGCTGAATCTGCGAAGAGCCTTTGTCAAAATAAAGCTATTTCATCAAAGTATCTGAGATTAAGAAGTTGAAAGAAACTATTATTTCACGAAAATGTATATGCATATATTATTTTTTCCCGAGATTAGCATTACAGTGATTATTATCATTATCATTATTTTCCTACAATTATTACAATTATGGTTATACTTACAATCTATATTTCTACATGGAATGAAAATAAGAAACAAATCGAAATGTTGATACATTATTATTATTATATAAGATAAAACAATCATCTATAATCATCTGTGCCAATATAAAACGTCTCATTCATCGAAGAAAAAGGAAAATGTCTCTCACCCCCTCCCTTTCTTCCTCCTTGCCCACCCCTCTCTCTCTTCCTCTCTCCTTGCTTCTCTACTCCTCCTCTCTCTCTATCTATCTATCTATCTCTATCTCTCTATCTATCTATCTACCTATCTCTCTGTCTCTCGCTGCTTCTCTCTCTCACTCACTCACTCATTCACTCTTTGTAACTCTATCTATATATATCTATCCATATATCTATTTATCTCCCCCCCCCCTCTCTCTCTCTCTCTCTCTCTCTCTCTCTCTCTCTCTCTCTTCTCTCTCTCTCTCTCTCTCTCTCTCTCTCTCTCTCTCTCTCTCTCTCTCTCTCTCTCTCTCTCTCTCTCTCTCTCTCTCTCTCTCTCTTTATCTATCTATCTCTCTTTATCTACCTCTCTCTCTTTATATATCTATATATTTCTCTCTCACACACTCACTCAGTCAGGGTAAGGGACACCCTAGCAGCAACCATACCAGCAGTGACAACAATTTAAACAATTCAAACAAAAAATAGTTTGAAGAAGCAATCTATCAATACAGCAGTGTTACAGTAATGCCTAACACAACTCTGTGTTTCATCGCAACAACAAAGTGTTAAGCAAGGTCGGTCATCTGTGATCAAAACAGAAATACTACAGGCCGGCTGAAATCGAGCAAATCCTTAACATTGTTATCAGATTATTTCTTCAATTTTTGTCATACTTCTCCAGCAGAATACAGACAATGAACCACAGACATATAATTGACTTCCTGGTCGGAATGTTCTCTGAACAGCAATCGGCTATAAACAAAATCATCGGGCAAGAACAAGCAGAGGGCGCAGCGGTGACTCAAGAACCGACGCCCCCTCTTCCCATCTCCCACCCGTGATCAGACCAACACGAAACTTTTCCTTCCACATCTCCTCCCCCAGCCACAACGCCCTCAACCTCCACCCAAAAAAGAAGAAGCAACCCCTCCTCCACACCCTCCACGCCCACACCCACGACCAGCAATCCTCTCCTCCCGACGCCCTCCCCTCTCTCCCTACCCGCGGCCGGCCAGCTGCCTCGCGCCCTTGCTGACTCGCCAGCCTCCAATGCTGCCGAGCCACCCACGCGCCCCTCCGCCGGCGCCCCCAGCCAGCAAACTCCCGCCCCACAGTCCCCCGCGCTACTGAGAGCCTCTCGCCGTCAGACCCAAGGCCAAGACGACTGATAAGACGAAGATTTAGAAAAACAAACAGAAAGAACAAGCAACTCGAACAAGTCGAGCCCAACCACCACTGGGAGGAAACCGCTCAGCAGGTGCAAGGAGCTCCCGCCCTCCCTACTGCCCCCCCCCCACCTGCAGTGCCACCAGTAATCGTTAATAACTATGCAATCCAGCCAAGACGTTGACGGAGAGGGTTACACCAAGTCATGTCACGAAACCAGAGAAAAAGAGCCAGAGAAGAACAGTAGACACCAGAGCCATTCAGGGGAGCAGATCGCCCGACGCTGTCTACCTCTGCACCACCAGCTGCCACCCAAGCACAGACGAAGAGGACAGAGAATAACATCCCTCTGAAAAGTCTCAAAACATGTTAAGAGTAAAAGTCCACAAAAATAATGAGACATGACTAAACCACCAGTTACGGTATCATTAAGGTAAAAAATATAAACACCAAATCATTTATGGACCAGTGTTATTCACTATTTTTTTCAAGAGAGCCAAAAGTTCAGGGCATATTCAGATTGAGAGCCACATGCCTCGTAAGCTACAAGGATTAGTATTAGCAGAACAAAATATATACAGAAACTAAATTACATATTTTTTACATATTTTTGATACTGGCAAAGTATGGGTCGCCGAGCACTGGATTTTACGTAACCTACACGTACAGTTCCTGTGCGGAAGGAGCGTCATCTCTCTCTCTCTCTCTCTCTCTCTCTCTCTCTCTCTCTCTCTCTCTCTCTCTCTCTCTCTCTCTCTCTCTCTCTCTCTCTCTCTCTCTCTCTCTCTTTCTCTCTCTCTCTCTCTCTCTCTCTCTCTCTCTCTCTCTCTCTCTGTTTTCCGAGCCGCCACTCAGGTCTTGGCGAGCCGCCACTGGCTCGCGAGCCGCGCAATGAAAACCACTGTTATAGACCGACGCTTTTCCCGATAATGTTGAAGTGTTCTTAAACAAAAGAAAGTGCAAGAACGATCAGATATTTGACCAGGCCGCCGGTGATTAGATCGCACACTTTGATCGGATATTTTGAAGAAATGGAAATGAAACTTAAGGAAAGAAACATAGACAAACTATGCATAAGTGAAATATGGCTCCACCAGGAAATGGTTAGTAATTTCATCAATATTACAAAATCTAAATGTAGGTCGTGGAGAGTATGTATTTCTTCTTTCATTATAGCGTTGTATATGGGCATCTCCATGCAACTTCGAAATCTTTTGAATACTTCGAAAAGGTTTTCAGAGAAATGTCACTACAAAAAGAAACGCTAAGTTAGTTATGATAAGTAAGACTAATAGATTAGAAAAAAATAATTAATATACCTACACGGGTACGGAAAACACCTCATCTCAATTAGATGTAATAAATCAGATCCTCTCCACTCTGATGTCGTCCCGCATAAAGGGTTAAAAGTCCAAATGCAGTTATGATACATGTGCCTTCGTTCACAAACTTATTCATGGGAATTGTCCACAATGGTTATTGCAAAATGTAGGAAACACACCAGGTGTCCAAACACGTCAGGTAAATTCTGTTTTTGTTAAATGATGGAATACGGACACGACAAATACAAATACGTGGACCCAAGATCTGGTACATGTTACCTGATCATATAAGAGTCGGTACCAAGTTCTGTAATTTCAAATGAAATTAAAAGAATACCTCATCAATTGTCAGGTGTAAATATGGATGTAACTACGTAAAAAATAACCATTGTAATTTATGAAATACAGTATTTTGAATTTGAACTCTCTCTCTCTCTCTCTCTCTCTCTCTCTCTCTCTCTCTCTCTCTCTCTCTCTCTCTCTCTCTCTCTCTCTCTCTCTCTCTCTTTATCTTTCTATCTCTCTCTCGCCCTCGCTCTTTCTTTCTTTTTTATCTTTCTATCACTCTGTCTTACTCTCTCTCTCTCTTATTCTCACTCTCTCTCTCTCTCTTTCTCTTTATTTATCTTTCTATCTCTCTCTCGCTCACGCTCTTTCTTTGTTTTATCTCTCTCTCTCTCTCTCTCTCTCTCTCTCTCTCTCTCTCTCTCTCTCTCTCTCTCTCTCTCTCTCTCTCTCTCTCTCTTTATCTTTCTATCTCTCTCTCGCCCTCGCTCTTTCTTTCTTTTTTATCTTTCTATCACTCTGTCTTACTCTCTCTCTCTCTTATTCTCACTCTCTCTCTCTCTCTCTCTCTCTTTCTCTCTCTCTCTCTCTCTCTCTCTCTCTCTCTCTCTCTCTCTCTCTCTCTCTCTCTCTCTCTCTCTCTCTCTCTCTCTCTCTCTGTCTGTCTGTCTGTCTCTCTCCCTCTCTCTTTCTCTCTCTCTC